ATATTATATAAATATGTATATATACATACATGTATATATATATATACATGTATATATATATATATACGCAAGTCCAATATCACAACCACATCTACAAACACAAACCCAATACGCGTACAAACCCTTACCCTGCACCCTAACCTCCTCCAACTGGGCCGCCAGGGCTGCCCTGTCCTCTTCGTTTCGCTGTGCCATCTGTTTGAGTAGTCCAATCTGTTCCATTTTCTCGGCCATCTGTCCTTTGAGCATGCCGATCTCCTCGGCTTTGACGTTGGTGAGATTCATGAAGTCCATGTCCTTGGTGGCGATGAGGTCGTCCATGGCTTTTCTGTGGTAGTGAGTGACAGGGTAGGTAGGTAGGTAGGTAGATAGGTAGAATGTCAGACGTCGAAAGATGATTGATGAGTGTGGCTATACGTATATTTGCCTGTGGTGGTGACAGGGCAAGTAGGTAGGTAGGTAGGTAGGTAGAATGTCCGACAACGAGAGATGATTGGTGTGTGTGGCTATTATTATGACACAAAGGTATGCACACGTGCACACACTATTCCACAATGCTTCTGCACGCACAAGTTTATATATATCTCCGTATGCACCAGGGCAAAAAAAATGAACCGTACTTACCGAACTGTACAAATAGTTTTACAGGGGTTTACCCAGTCACGTACTATATCTATAGCACTCTATGTGTCACCAGGCTAACCAAGTAATACTAGGCCGTGTACGTACTGTACTGTCATACACTTACTATACGACTATTATGCGAATTACGAGACTATGTACGTAAATGTACTCTTAGCGCCACGTGTACCACCAGGCGAATCAAGTAATACAAGGCCGTTTACGTACTGTACTGCCATACACCTACTATACGACTATATACGTGTACTCTTGTTTGGTGGTTTCGTTTACTACTACGTGACTACTACATACACACTTACTTAGTAAGCGTTTATATACTATTACTACGTGACTACATACACACTTACTTAGTAAGTGTTTACATACTACTACTACGTGACTACAAACACACTCACATAGCAAGTGTTTATATACTACTACTAATTGACTACATAGACACTTACTTAGTAAGTGTTTATATACTACTACTACGTCAATACATACACACTTACTTACTTAGTGTTTATATACTACTACTAAGTGACTGTACACACACTTACTCAGTAAGTGTTTATCTACTACTACTACGTGACTACATACACACCTACGTAGTGTTTATACACTACTACTGCGTGACTACATACACACTTACTTAGTGTTTATATACTACTACTACGTGACTACATACACACTTACTTAGTAAGTGTTTATCACTACTACTAAGTGACTACACACCCACTTACTCAGTAAGTGTTTATCTCCTACTACTAAGTGACTAAGCACACACTTACTCAGTAAGTGTTTATCTCCTACTATTACGTGACTATACACACACTTACCTAGTAAGTGTTTGTCTCCTACTACTAAGTACCTACACACCCACTTACTTGTACTCTTGCTTGGTCGTCTCTCGTTCTTCCGCCAGTCTCTGTTCCAGTACAGCGATCTCCGCCGCCTTCTCCTCCGCCAATTGCGCAGACACTCTGTCCGTCTCAGTGCTCAAGGCAGACAGCTGGCGTATAGCACACGACGATAAACTGAGTTAGGAACAGTGGGCAACTTTAATAAACTGAGTAAACTGAGTAAGGCACCGTGCGCAACTACAGGGCAGGTTTAAATGTCAAACAAACACAGATATACAGAATAGGCAATTGTGGACAGGAGCGGGACTAGGCTGTATACGTACAAATACTTGGATATATATATATATATATACATATATATATATATATATATATATATATATGTGTGTGTGTGTGTGTGTGTG